CTGTCCCTCAGCTCTTCAGCTCAAGGCTAGCACTCTACCACTTGAGCCACAGCACCACTTCTGGCTTTTTTCTTTTTTGCTTATGTGGTGCTGAGCAAGCACTCTACCACTGAGCCACCTTCCCAGCCCCCCTGAGACTATTATCTCCAATTAACTACCAGAAAACCGCAAGTGACACTGTGGCTCAAGTGCTAGAGCACTCACCTTGAGCTGAAGAGCTGAGGGACAGCGCCCAGGCCCAGAGTTCAGGCCCCATGATCCATAAACAAATACATAGAATAGATCTAATCAGTTTTTACCCTAGTTTTAATGTTTCACCTCACCTAACAGGCTGAAAGACTTGACATAGGTCCAGAGGTGGCAGGGAAAGGAAACAAAATATGGTTCACTGAAATGCCCTTTCTGAGCCTCTCAGGAAATATTAGGCTACCAAAAGGAAATGAGAGGCCTCAACAATCAGACCAGGATTTAATCATTGGCAAAGAGGAGCACCAAGCGGCACAGAACAGAGTCGAGATCCAAGGGGCAAGAAGTGTAGCGGGGTTAGGCTTTAATCTCTCGTGGAGTATGAGAGTTTGGGATGTGGAATGTCCTCGTAATTGTAGCAGAAGGTCCAGAAGGTTTGAGATGTCTTCTCGGTGGAGGCAGATGGTCCTTTTCCTTCTGATGAGGCCGGGGGTGAACAGAGATGCTGAGCTGGGAAGGTGGCTTAGTGGTAGAGTGCTGGCCTAGCATGTATGAAGCCCTGGGTTCAGTTCCTCAGTACCACATACACAGAAAACCCGGAAGTGGTAGAGCTCTAGCCTTGAGCAAAAGAAGCTCAGGGACAGTGCTCAGGCCCAGAGTTCAAGCCCCAGGACTGGCAAAATAATAATAATAGGGATCCTGGGGGAGATTGCCCGCAGGGTGCCCAGGGGAAGGGCTTCAGCACAGCCTTACGACGCGTGTGAAAGATGGTTGGATTTCTCATTTCCCTTTAGAAATTTTAGTCCTTCAACTGCCAGGGGTCCCTGTTCTCTTTTCCTCTGAAAGTCACCCCTCACCCCCAGAGGAGGGGAAGTAAGGATTTAGTCTGCCTTTTAGGAAAGCTAACATTTGTTTAGGACTGTGGACAAGCAGGGAGTTGGAAAAAAATATATATATATATATTTAAGGATGAACAATTATATTAATATTTCTGGTTCTAGTCATTTTTTTGTTTTTAGTCAGAGTGGCTAGGTTTGTGGCCAGGTGCAACCTCGGGGATTTTGTAATTCAACTGTTGTGGGTTTTTTTTTTTTTTTTGTCGGCCGTGGGGCTTGAACTCTGGGCCTGGGCGCTGTCCCTCAGCTCTTCAGCTCAAGGCGAGCGCTCTACCACTTGAGCTACAGCACCACTTCCGGTTTTCTGGTGGTTTATTGGAGATAGGAGTCTCACGGTCTCTCCTGCCTGGGCTGGCTTTGAACCACGATCCTCAGATCTCAGCCTCCTGAGTAGCTAGATTTACAGGCGTGAGCCACCAGCGCCCGGCTGGGTTTTCTTTTCTTAATGTTCTTTCTTCTTGTCATCCAGTGTTCTGTTAACATTATTTCTAATAAGTTTGTGATCCATTAAAAGAAATTGTTCTCCTAAAAAAAGAATGAAGGGAAGAAGTTTCCCAGACTCTAATGAGGAAACTGATGTGTCCTTCAATCTGCTGATTAACATCAGGCAGGATTAATTAACTTGAAGCCAGGCACCAATGGCACACACCTGTAACCCCAGCTACTCAGGTGGCTGAGATCACAGTTCAAAGCCAGCCCAGGCAGGAAAAATCCCTGAGACTCTTATCTCCAATTAACTACCAGAAACCAGAAGTGGCTCAAGGAGTAGAGCACTTACCTTGAGTTGAAGAGCTCAGGGACAACACCTAGGCCCTGAGTTCAAGACCCAGGACTGGCACAAAACAAAAAACAAATGGAGTGGTAGCTATAATCCTAAACAAGATTGGCTTCAAGACAAGAAACATAACTAGAAATAAATAACATTTTATGATGATAAAATGGTCACGATATCAATAGAGAAATTCTAAATGATGTGCAGGTGACCTTCATATAATATATGGAGCTATGGGCACTGATTTCCACCCCCCCATAGTAGCAAAAATCCACAAATAATGGTGTGTATGTGTGTGTGTGTATACCAGTATTAGAGCTTGAACTCAGGGCTTTGTGCTCTTACTTGACTATTTTGCTCAAGACTGATGATCTACCATTTGAACCACATCTCCACTTCCAGCTTTTTGCTGGTTAATGCCCCAGAGCTGGCTTTGAAACGTGATCTACCTCCCGGGTAGCTAGGATCACAGGCGTTAGTCACCAACACTGGACACTTGGCCTCATTTTTTTTGGGGGGGTCCGGTTGTGGGGTCCGAACTCTGGGCCTGGGCACTGTCCCTCAGCTCTTCAGCTCAAGGCTAGCG